TTTATTAATTCTTTGCCTTACTAAATTAATGAGTCTAGAATACACTAAAAATAATAGATACCGAAAAAATTAGACAGACCCCTACGCAAGGTAGAAAGTATATTAAATTGAATATTTATTAAATCTTCGTCTTACTAAATAAGTAGAAGCATTAAAGCACGTATTTTCTGTTTCTGCAATAGATATTAGCTATGTGATAGGCGGGGGGAGGGGCGGAGCCAAGAGAGAAATGTAAGTGATGTATTATTAGATAAAAGAAAAGTTTTTGTTACTATACAATATGTTATTTTGAGTAATAACCATAATTTATTATAATAAAATGATTTAAATTATATGTCTGTAAGGATGGGGCACGTTAGCTCATATTTAAGGTTAATTTAGTTTACTTTACTATAAGAAGTGTGTAACCTTTCAATTACAACTTAATTATGACAAAACGTTTTTTATTTAATATTTCTGTATTGAAATAAGCTACATCTAAAATAGTTTACATTTATTACTCTATAATACCTTTTTGCTATTTGATCACTACAAAATAATTCTAAAAGATGTGATCTTTTTTTAAGAAATACATATCTGTGATCTGTTTTTACTTCTATTATGTTTTCATTAATTTAATATGGAATTTATCGCTTAAGCAACTTACACTATGATATGTGTCAACTTACCCGGCTATCGAGGTAAATTGGTTACATTGCAGCATGTTCGTATTTCACTTACTATAAAGAAACTATACAGTGTTACGTCCTGAGGACTCCACGATTCTTTTCTTTCGTGGAAAATGTCAAAGTTAGCCGCCGAAAGCGACGAGCGATATCAGGGGCAATAATTTAATTAAATATTAGATTTAAGACTTCCTGCGTTCTAAGAAACGGATGAGCGAGAGCTTTCAATTAGCACAATCTGCTGCCGATAAGCCCGATTTGCCTACAAATAGAGACAATCGCCGCCTGGTTTCGCGTGCAAGTTTTGGGAAGGAGACCCTTCCGGTCCCCAAAAGATAAGATTCAGTAATTAATTTGGCACACGCCAAATTAGGCGAAGATCTTATCTATCGGTCGCCAACGCCGCGCAAAAATCGGCGGATCAAAGAGGGGTCACTCCGATAACCCCTTTTCCGGATCCGGCGGCTCCCGAAAATCAAAGGAGGCTGACCAGGATCCCAGGTATATATATATGGATTCTCCGGGCGACGGGAGTCTCTCAAAGTTCGCCAGTCAATTCGGTTGTCACGCTGTCATTTTTAAACGGCAGAAAAAGAACTTATACTTTGTGCGCGGGTGAAAATCGAGTGCCCGAGAACGCTCCTGGAGAAGCTCCTGTCTCTTATACACATCTCTGAGCGGGCTGGCA